TTAAACTATACCAAGGATAACATTTTTGTATAGCTTGGTTGAGCCAGTCTAAATTGCTCTTGACCAGCGTCCTCTAATGTGTTCGAAAACAAGAGAAGGTATTTGTTTTTTTTTGGGTCTTGCCAAAATGTTTTAGCTGATAATTAAAGGTCTGATTAATTTGATACCTTAAGGTGAATTTTGATAACTGCAAATGAACCCCAACCCCCCTGCATTTCTGAATGTATATAAGATGTCAACGTGACTCCCAGGGGCACCAACGACACTGTGGCAAAAAGGGTCTATCAGTTTATCCATGCAGCGGAGATCATTTTAGAAAAATAGGATTTACAAAGATTTTGGGGAGATTTTGCCCAAGAGGATTTTTATTGCCCAATGTGACAAAGAACAATAAGATGCGTAAAACCTCTTCAATTGATCATAACTAAACATCATTGTCAGCTCTGGATCAAACTATGAAATTAAGTTAACACTATCTATTGTTTGGTCCCTGTTATACTTGATGTCAGGATGAAATTTTCCTTTTAAAACAAAAAAGAGTCATTGCGAAATATCTTTAAACTATGTATATATATCAATTTAAAGTACCGAATACCTTGGTTTTGGGGTATGACATCCGCAAGTGTCAAAAAATGTTTTTGCTTGCAAGATTTCTCGTCATTCTAATTTGTGATTATGTTTTATCGGAGGAAAGTTTAATGGTCAATTTATTTTTGCGATTTCGTGTTTGGAACCGTGAAAATATCCAAATAAATGATAAGTGTTTTCCAACAATGGCTAGAAATTGATAAGTGGTGGTTCCAATGCTCTTAAACATATTTAGTTAGCTAAAACCGTAAATCTTATTTGATTCATCAGCTTTTTAATGTCTTTTCATTTGCTTGAGGCATAGCTGCTAGTTACCATAAATCCTCAAATTAGCCCCCTGGGTGCTTTCTTTATTTTTGATATTTTTGAATGAGGGCTAGTTCGAGGGGGGGTTGACGAGAGGGGGGGGGCTTTTTAAATTGTTGTACATATTAAGAGGACCTTATTAAAAGACCTCGTTTATTTTGTAGATATTTCTTCATGAGCATTTAATTAATTATTATCAAATGTATGAATTTGTTATGGTAATTCAATAAAATGCCAAAGGCAACCTCAAATGGCAAAAATTAATCAAACTGAGGGGTCCAATTCGAGAATTAACGGTTGCATTGGGGGCCTATTCGAGGGGGGGGCATATTGACAATTTTTAGTTCTAGAGTGGGGGCTTATTCGAGGGTGGGGGCTCTTTTCAAGAGGGGTGGGCCAATTCGAGGATTTGTGGTATGTCATTTTAAGCAAAAACTCATAACTAGCTAAATCATTCAATGGGAAGCCGTATCACGTTAAATGCTTTTGAAATCATCGCAATAAAATGCTCGAAGATAAAATGCGACTGGAAGAGGAGTCAACTGTAAATGGTTGTATGTAAACTTTGTAACGACTGTAATTAAACTATTTTTCAAATGTAAATCGATGGTATTCGTCTCTTTCAATATTTTTACACCTGCTTGAAGGTCCTCTTTTTGCTCCTTGACAATTGCTTCATTTTAATAGAAATTCATCAAAAAGGTATAGAATGCGTGGATATGGAACCTCTGCGTACTAGCCTGCGTGCAGCCTCTATTGTTAGATGGAGGGGAGGAGGAAAGAGCGCAAATCTGCTGAGTAGAGTCTGCGCATCAGCATGCAATTGCTTGTTCCAAAGAACCATATTGTAAGAGTACTTCATCTTGCATAACCCGAATTGCATGGAGTTGTTTTACGTTCTCAATGGCGGTGAGTCAAAGCAGTGACCAAAAAAAAACCTAGAGTATGTCTGGAACGAATCTAAGTTCACCGAAGCAATAAAGATGGTTTGTTGTTTCTCTAACATGGATGAATTGAAGGATAATCAGGAGAGAGCGTTGTACAGCTTTTTCAAGTTCAAAAAGCATATTTACTACAGCGCACCGACTGGCCACGGGAAGTCCCTTATTTTTCAATCGATTCCACTAATAGCTGACGTTCTAGCTGACAACGCAGTTGGAACAAGTAACATTTTAGTGATTAGTCCATTACTGTCTCTTATGCACGATCAAATCAATGATGTGAACACACAAACTGAACTGTCTGCTGCTGGGATCTTCAAGGGCCAAGCTGAAAGTGTCCTTGCTGTCATAGAAGATGGAACTTACAGCATTTTTTACACTTCCCCAGAATCTATTTTGCCGTCCTCACGTCGGCGACGCATCCTCAGTGGGAGTAGATTTGCCGATTGTTGCATTGGCATTGTTATTGACGAAGCACACTGTATCAGGCAATGGTAAATTTTTCTTGAACTGAATGTGTCATGCATTTTGTCTCCTGCTAGCTAATCAGGAAGTGAAAGTATCGATCAGTCATTAAATACGTATGACTTGCCTTGAACCAATTAATGTGGAGTTTTATAAAATCCTGACACTTTTCATCACTTCAGTTAATTTAATTCTGGAAATATAACCCTCAAGTATCAATGTTACATGCCTTTTCATGTGTTTGGATAAAAAACCCAGGAATAGACACCACTTTTATATAAAAGGCAGTTTTAAATAGATGGTTTCCGTATAGGGGCTCTTGCTAAAATGCTTCCTTGGGTGTTGAAATTTATTGCATTAATATTGAAATTTCTCATTTACAGTAGCTAGTTTCTGTGTGGACAGCTGGACTTTCCATGAAGACAATGATAATATTTTCGATTAGTGAACTGCTCTTACCTACAAAGCAATGTTGGCAAAACAATATACTGTGAATTCACTTTTCTTTTTAGGAGCCAAAGCATAGCATCCAAATCTGCCTTCAGAAAATGGTTTGACATGATTGGAGAAGTCAGATCTTTGCTACCAAAAGTAGTTCAGATGGCAGTTTTCTGCAACCAAACTGCAAACAAAGCAACAAAGCAAAGCATCACTGATGTTTCAGTAATTGATTTATCTAATTCATTTGTCCAGTGAAGGAAAATTTGTGGTTTATTGTAAATATGTTGGTAATGCTATTCCGCTTTTTGAAATATTTGCTGGCCTTGTACAGGAAATAAAAAAAGGCATTGAAACAATTTGAGCTCTCATCTTTTGCCAAACTAGAAATCAGGTAGCTTTTATCTGGAAAATGTTTGTTATGGAGCTGGGAGAGAAGCTGTACAAAGACAAGACAGAGAATGCAAGAAGAAGGTTGGTTGAGATGTATCATGCTGGAACTCCAAAAAAAAGGAATTCATTTTAGAACAAATGAGAGATGGGAAAGGCCACACCCGTATTCTCTTGTGTACCATTGCCTTTGATTTGGGCATAGACTGCAAAGGGGTGCACAGAAGTATTTACTTTGGCCCATCAAAAAATTTAGAGAATTATTTGCAGGAATGTGGCAGGGCTGGCAGAGATGGGACTGTCAGTCATTCATGTTTGTTGTACAATGGTTTTACACTATTAAACAGTGAAAAGGATATGAAAGATTTTGTTTTTGCAAATGTTTGCAGGCGTGCTTTACTTCTGTCAAGCTTTCCCAAGTCTTCAGGAAATATATTCCAAAGAGGCCCTGAGAATGCTGGCTGTAAATGTTTTGATATATGTGCAAAAGCATGTATGTGTCAATCAGATGATTGTAGTAGAAATACATTTGATTTTCTGACTGCAAAAGATAACAATGCAAATACTGAGATGGCTAAGAAGCGTTCTGTAACAGATGAAGAGAGAGATTTGGTAGAAAGCAAAATGTTGGAATACAAGAAGTCACTGCAGCATGCCATTGTTCCCAATCTGAAAATAGTTTCATACCCAAATGTTTTATTCCTGTTCACTGACTTTCAAGTCAGACAGGTACGTACCTCATGTGAATTTATGTTCACAGTAGAAGATGTAAATATGCATATTGAAATATGGAGGAAGGAGGATTGTTTAAAGATATTGAAAGTGGTAAAAAGGTGTTTGAAGACATAAATGAACCACTTTCAGGAAGTGCTATAGAAGCATCACTACTTGATGATACAGATAACAGAGAAGAAAGAAGTCTTGTGTTGGATGGAGACTGGTTGGAAATTCAGGTTGACTCAGAAATCAACATTTCAGATTCAATCAATTTATCAGAAATAGAAGAAGATGCAAGTGTGTTTCATGACTCATTGGACAATCTCTGCAAAAGCTTAGACAATTAAATGAGTATTTCTGGAATTAAACCACAGTTGCTCTATGATTCTGTTGTAGATGACAACTCTTTTGCATGAACTTTAGGATTAAAAGAATAATTGAAAAGTAACTATATATACCGTATTTCCCTGTTTTAACATGACAATGTTTATAAAATTCCAAAAATTTTGGATGCAGCTTTTATTGGAGGGAGGTGTTTATTAGAGAGAAGCATTTATATCTGTGTCAATGCTTCATTACTTATTAATAGAGGTAATATATGGTACTGGGTGTCCCAGAAAAAAGTATACAGGTTTAGCAAACTCCTAGGATGTGAATGTAGTTAACTGATGGCTAATTGTTTTGCAAAATGTTACTCAACAGTAAAAATGCCAAAATGCCAAAGCTCTGGTTTGGAGGTTAATGAAATTTGACAATTAACATGTCTGCTCTAAGAGTGGTGAAACCAACAAAAAGAGTGATGGTATCTATGTCAAAGTAGCAAGGGCAGATTTTGTAACAATAGGTTCTTTGGTTTGTTTACATTTTGTTGACTAGCCAATCAGAGAGCTCTATTTCTATGGCGTCATCTGATGGTAATGGCGGATGGAGGGGTTTGCTGTGGAGAAAATCACACCCTCGTTTTTTCCTCGCGACGAAAATATACAATTGCACTGCTAGCAGATGTAAGGAATATTTCAAAAAGGGTCTTACAGTGTTTTTTAAATCATTTTTCAACCTAAAATAGCTATTAAGGTGGATATTTATATGTAGCGCTAGCCCTTCGGGGGAGGGGTCTAGCCATAATTTAGGCGGGGCGGAGAGTGAAAAGCGACTAAAAAACAGTAACTGAACAAACTCGCAATCAACATGGTTATACGAAGATGGCAGATAAGACACAATGTCCCACCGCTATTCGATGCCTCGATGGTCATTTAAAATTCTCATTGGTTGGACTATACACTGCACTCCCCACTCGAATGTATCCGGAAAGTTTTGAATATTGCCAGGAATCTGTTTTTAAGTATTCTTTAAATAACTTCAAAGACAATTCTCTTAATAACCTTTCCATTAATTTCCTCGAATTTTTCCTGTGTTTCTTTGGCGTTGAACTATTTATTCGTCAAAAAATTCATCTTATTATAGATGTGTAAGCAAACTTTTTGAGGGTCTTTCCTCAAGATGGTAGCATCGGAAACAAGTGAGTTGACACATTAGCAGTGTCTAGAAATAATGTTTTATCACAATGATCGAAGAAAAGCTATTAATTAATTGTTCGTATAATTGAATGCAAAAAACTGCTGATTTAGAAAATTGCAAAATAATTTGAAAGCAAGAAGCATAAAATTTTGGTCACGTTCAAAAAGAACAAGAACTCTCGCGAGACAAATGGTCGAACGTTCTGCCCTAACCAGTTTGCATCGAAACTGGTTTGCTTCATCGCACAAAATTGAACAAAATGTTTACAGAAAATTGTAAATTAAAGTTGAAAATCATAACTTTTAAAATCTGTCCATAAATATTGCAAGAAGCAAAGTAAACAATTACAAATGTACACTCGTACTTATCGATTTCAGCAAGACTTGCAGCGGTAAAGAAAGCAGCTTTTGCACTGAATAAAATGCCTGCTTTTCAAGAACGTTTATGGTCTGGTAAAATGTTACTAAATGTTATACATGATTTGTAATTGATTGTTGGCATCTCCATGCAAATAATCTTCCCAACTGAAAGTAAACACGTTGTTTTTCAAAAGTTTTTGTGTCTTGAGAACGAGTTTATAAAAAATTATAATGTTTCATTGGCCAATTTGTAATTGAGTTCTAACCACCTGACTTTTCTGCTCTGCGTTGATTTGACATTGGTTTATTTGCGTAAAGATTGTACTGCAAAGGTTTCATATTTCAACAAAAGCTAATAACAGAAAAAAATGAAGAAGGTTGGCAATATTTTAATGTCTTGGTTCATCTTGGAATGGTTTCTCAAAAACATTATCGTTTCTTATAAACTATCTGGTGGACCCTCATGTATTTTTGAAAAGTCCTTTTGCCAATCTAACTTTGTTCTATAACTTGACAAAGGGCGATGCTCAAAATTTCGTTTTTAACTCTTTCATTTTCCTAGTACAATTTACCTTATTTTCCAGTTATATTGTCAAATAATATTGTACAGATGCAAACTATAACGTTTTTTGAATTTGTTTTTGTGCGGAAGTGCAATCGATCGTCGAGCAATTGAGGGCGTGCAAAAAGGGATGTCAATAGCGAGCGATCACGCAAAGAGCAGAAAACGCAGAGCTTAGTGCCAATAAAATTACATGTAAAATTTATCGTTCTATGCGGATGCAAAAAATCTCGAGTTTTTCTCAAAGTATATTTTCGTCGCGAGGAAAAAACGAGGGTGTGGTTTTCTCCACAGCAAACCCCTCCATCCGCCATTACCATAAGATGACGCCATAGAAATAGAGCTCTCTGATTGGCTAGTCAACAAAATGTAATCAAACCAAAGAACCTATTGTTACAAAATCTGCCCTTGCTTGTCAAAGTCAATAATCACAAAACCTTTTGAGACTAATTGAAGCCATAATCACATCACAGTATACCTAATTTCTTGCATCTCTGCACTTGAGCATGAAAATGCAGATTTACATTGCAGTGTATTGCTTTCAGCACTGTATACTCAATTCTTAGTCCTTGGGGAAAAAAGCCAATTTTTGCCTGACAGACTTTGGCCTAACAGAAATATCTGAATTGTTAAAATTTTCAAAATTTTGAAGGAAAACTATAATTGTTCAGTTAACGTCTGTATTATAAACAAAGTATTTTGCACTTGACGGTAACATCTGTAATATGCAAAGTAAAGATTGTCAATTAAAATGCTTTGGGTGGACCAGCAACACCACAAAGCAATTTTTGACTGTCAAAATGAAACAACTCTTTAAAACTAATAACTGACAACACCCCCCCCCCCAAACACAAACACAAAATTATTTTGTTATTAAGCAAAGAAACAAAATTGGTCCCCATTTTTACAATCTGATCTCTATCATACTTCCTTTTATATTTTTTGGTTGTATTTTAAGAAAGTTATATTTCTGAAGCTACACAATTATGCTTTGTGATGCATTCAAAGTCATCTTCTTGCCCTGTTCATCATGATCTTCTTTTTGTGCTGCATTCATTATCCAAGCATACATACCATGCAAATCAAAGTCTTCTAGAAGAGATTCTTGCATTCCATCAAATACCTTGTAGCTCTACCACTTGTCATAAGGTTTTGAACAATTTTCTTTAAGTCCTTCTTTGCTGATGTTTCAGTGTGCTTACCTGACCCTTTATAGATATCACACCTACGGTCAAGTTGTCCACTAATTTTTTTGTTACTGTCACAGCTTTTGCAATCCGATCAACTGCTTTTTTATTTGTGCTGTTTGGTCCCAAGGACCTTATTGCATTCTTCATGAAATTCTTGTTGTGCTCTATCATCAAATCCATGGGTATATTGCTACCACAACTCTCTATGGATTTGTGGAATCTATTCCAGATCAATCTATGAGCATCCTTCTGGGAAAGAAAAGCCTCAACTTGAATGATGAGGTAAAGTGCTTCAAGAGCATACTTTCGACTCTTCGGACCATCAGCTTTCAAATATGGGAGCATAAATTTCCAGCACCTTACAAGTCGTGCACCATCTCTCTCTGAAATGGCATCGTAGAAGTTTAGAACAATAGCACCAAAATCGAAAAGTGATCTTTGGTAGTTAAACATAGCATCAATATCACTGTTCTTTTTTTCAATTTCATCTTTTCCTTTATGTAGGCGATGTGATTTTTCATTATTTAATCTTGCCTTGCCGTCAAAAGTAAAAGCCTTGCTACAACCCACTTCTCTACAAGCAAAGCGGCCATCTTGTGTTTTGGGATTCACTGATTTGAGCCAATCTGAGTATGCTTGTTTTTTCAAGAGATCTCCATTTTTATCGGCATTCAATACATATTCATCTGCAACCCTGCTGCATAATCCATGGAAATATTCTCTCTTTTTTGGATTTGCTACAAATATACTTTGGTAAGATCCCCTCTGATGGTTGCTCTTCTATATCCTTTATGCCAAGAATCACTAAAAATGCAGCAACAATCCTTGCATGGACTTCAAGCAAAAGAAACTTCTTATTTGCATCAAAGCGCTTTGACACATCAGTGACAACATTTCGGCGGTTTACAAGAGTTCTATCACTAAAGATTGTGCACTTGTCCATCACTGATTTTGCATTATAGAATTGGTCATATCCAAACTGAAAATAAACGTGAACATACGTTTAGCAATGTGATGTAATCTGCAGTATTTCGTAAAGTGCGGGAGAATCTAGTTGTAAGTTTCTGTTTCTCCCTCTCCATATGGTATATATACATAGAATACTCTAGGTATTATTTCTGTATCACTCTGGTTGTGTTTCATATTCTAGAAAAATTAAAACAAAGAGTTGTTGATCACATGATTCTAAGAGCGCATGATTCGAATTGTAACATACAAAGAACACTGTGAGTTATTAGTTAGTAAAACAAAATTGATCGACTGGAAGGGCTACTTGAACTAAGGGCTACAAGGGAAGTAATAAGGGATATTGATACTCAGGATGGAAGTTCCTTTCTTTGAAAGTTCTCCCTTAAGCTCAACTGCTTTCAACTGAGCTTGCCTAAGTATATAGAAGAGCACCATGTTCATTGTGTAGAAATGAGTGAATAATTGCTGTAATTTGCTAAAATGTCTCCTGACATAATTACATTGGTTAATACATACTTGCAAAAACTTCATTCCTGCATGAAAATCTCCAACTTCCAACTGTAAGCCATCAAGCCATTCAACTTCGTCAAAGCCATTACTCAACTGTAGCAAAACATTCACTCCTCTTTCAACAGTTCCTTGATCACCAACAGTTGCAAGCGAACTGCATTTCCCATCATTGCAAGGGACATACTTTGAGTGAATTTCCTTCATTATTTCCTCCATCTCTGCTGATTCATTTGAGTTTGTATAAATCATTCCAACAAATTTCTAGAAGGGGAAAAGAAATCTTAAGAGATACTTCAGACAGTGTTCAAAACATAAAAAAAAGAAGTTATGATGGATACAGTACCTGCATTGGGGCTAACAACAATAAGTTGACAGATAACTTCTTTCTTTGATAGCTTATAAAGTAAAAGGGACAAAGCCAAATTAAAGATTGACAAACTTATGTTGCAATAACGAAAGGTGATATACATCAAAGACATCAAAATGGAAAGCCCTTGAAAATATGCTCGATGAAGATGGTCCGTCTGACATCATTCTTTAGATGCCATATTCAATATCAAACAAGGTCAATCATTTACTGTTTTAACTAAATGGAATGTATTTTTAATCATTGACAATCATTACTGTATGTATGACACACAGTTTATGCCTGGCACGCAAACATGACAAGAATTCTTCACACACTGGTTTTGACCGATTGCAAAAATAAATCACAAGAATTTCACTAGAAATATTCTTGATATTTTATATTAAGTCTTTCACAGGAAAATCATGTTGATTTTTTCAAGATCTGTATGGTAGAGCTCAACTTATAACAACTGTTTGCCATATTCCTTTTTAGTAAATATGTAATGGATTTTATCACTTACAGTGTCTGTTCCCCTTCTTGCCTGAGCAGAATATGCATGCTTTATATGATGAACAGCAACATCCTTAAACTTTTCAAGACATTTGATACTGGCACAAGCAATCTTGCCACACAAATCAATATAATTCTTACGTTGCTTTTTGTGATTAGCGATATTTGGAAGCGCCATTAGATTTTCCATGTTGATAGTCCCAGTTTTCATTGGGCACTCAGTGGACAGACTATCAGCATGAATCCTGTTTTCAACTGCTGCCACTGACACCCGATGTTCATTATGATTCTGGTGACCCTCTGTCATGGAATGGTCCTTTGTTATGAAATAAAAAATTGTCTACCACCACTTTTCTGTCCAAAGATGTTTTGAATGCTTGATCCTTAAGGAACGACTCGTGATTTTTGCCAAATTCTTCCAGTTTCTTGTAAAGAAAATTGTGTGAAACAACTAGGCGCAAAGCCTTTAATTTCTGAGTCTGCTCTTCAAGGCAAATACAAGAAAACTGCTAGCACATAAGCTTCCAATCTAGAGGCTATTACTGTCTCATAAAAAGCATCTTTTACTGTTGTTTCAAGAGAAATTAAGAGGCCTTTTACATTGTTTCATTTCATTAGAGAATTTTTAGGCAGTTTTCCCTATAATCTTAAATGTATTTTTCATCACTGTTTTGGTGCTGCACCCAGGGCATACCACTAAAATGAGATGGGCTGAAGAATCATTCTAAATATAAAACTTTAAAGGTCTAGAAGTTTAAAGTCTTTCAGTTTTCTAAACACAACAATTACCATATTTCCAGAGTGTTGCATAATTATGCTTATGAGCAACTGCAATATTGTCATTTTTGGTGATCTGTTTTTGAGGCAAACAGAAGCTGCCATACAAACACATGAAGTCAGGTAGGAGCTTTCTGATGGGTTCTTCCTATGCCTTAGAGCAGCAGCTTGCAAAATGTGCCAAAAAAGTGGTGCCTTGTTTACCATCAATTCCTTCATTTTCTCAAACTGGAAACTGACAACATCCTCCTTGCTTGTGCATCTGAAAATTTTTTTAGTTGCTTTTTTGTTTTTTCCCTCAGACCCTTTTCAACATAGAGCCCTGCATTCTTAGTGATTTCCTTAAGCATGAATCCAGTCAAGGCTCCGCGAATTCTGTCATGCCTCCAAGCGGCATTGGCTATCTGTTTGTAAATTCCATGAGACAGCATTTTTCCTAATGATGCCAAGTCATGGGGCAGCTTTCTTTTTTTCACTTCGCTTATCCAATTCACTCTGACAGTAACTTGTGTCTGGCCACTTCCTCCAAAATTTATTGCTTTGACCGATTTTGACATTTTCCTTTGAGGGCCTCCTTGACCTTCATCAGAGCATGACTTGATAATATTTCGGGCAAGACAATCACTGCCCAATGCCCAATTTGGTGGGGGTGGGCAGTGTCCTGTTGGTGTACTGGTAAGGGCAGGGGCAAAACTCATTGTTGGAGGCACCGTCATGTCAATATCTGGTGAGGCAGAAAGCTTGGAGCGTAATTTTGTTTCAACATCCAAAATCTTATCCTTGAAGTTTTCTCTTCTGAGCAGAAGGTCCCGACAGACGTGAAAAACATATCTTGAATCCTTGCTCGAGTTCTCCATTCGAAAGGCAGATCTTCGATCTCGATTTTGCAGGTTGCGACTTCTTCCCGCACATCAATTTCCAGTCATGTTTGAGTGTCAGCTTTATGCTACAAATTGTGGCAAAGTT